ATGCTGCGGAGATGTACGGGAATTCTTGCACAGCATGGACCGACACGACGGCAATGACATGCAGCACGGCACCAGTGACGTTGTGCGGCCACGAAGCTCCAGGCAGTAGGCCATCAACCTCACGAACTGGTTAACACAGCGACGCAGCCATGGTGGACCCCACGTCTGAGAGGTTCCAGCCTCGCGCGCCTGGCCCAAGCGGACACGGGCATACGCGCGTCGCCGCACGTGCCAGGATCGGCCCTTCGCCTCGTCGTACTCCTCCCTCTCCCTCCGTCGCCCTCGTCCTCATCTCGGCATCCTCCCCCGCCAGATGCAGGCGATGGGCGCTGGCGTGCAGCCGGCCTCCGCCCAGGCGCGCCCCCGCGCGCCGCCATCGGCTGGCGCGGCGGTTCTCCAGTGCAGCTGAGGGGGGGCACCCAGAAGCACTTGGAAGGGCCCCAGGAGGCCTTCAGGAGGGCCCCAAGGAGGCCTTCAGGAGGGTCCAGGGAGGCCCCAGGATGCTCCAGGAGGCCTGGGGAGAGCGCAGGCGGCCCCTGGAGACCCGAGAGGGCCCCAGGAGGGGGGGGGGAGGCGAAGAGGAGGAGGAGGACGAGGCGGATGCGGATGCGGAGGAGGAATGCAAGGAGGAGGAGGAGGAGGAGGAGGAGGCGGTGGCGGAGGAGGAGGGGGGGGAGGAGGAGGGGGAGGCCTTCTTGCCTGGAGAAGCATGAGGGTGCAGAGGGAGGCGCAACAAGGCCACGAGAGGGCGAGTGGCCACCTTGCTGCCACCCTCCCCAATGCTGTGCAACTGGGGCGGAGGGTGCTTCAAGAGGTGCCCAGGAGAGAGCCCAACACCACTTCAGCGGCAAACGAAGGCTCAGCCGTCAGCAGGCGGGGCGGGCAAGGCGCTCATCCCAGAGACCCGCCATACAATCAAATCGCATTTGTTTAAGGGGGGGAGATTCTAACCCCACGTTCCCGCCGAGAAGCAAGTTAGCGTCCGCAATATTGGAGTGCCACCCGCCCACACCGAGCAGAGCGCTGCCAGGAACAGGGCTTCCTCGCCACAGGATCGGCCCAGGGCACAGCCTGAGGCACGGCGCTGCCAGTCCACCAAGACCCAGCCCGAGCAAAGGCTGCCAGTGGACACTACCAGACATCAAGGCAGCCATATGTATATATATATATACAGATACACATGTATAAATGTGTATATATATATACACATGGAGGGACAGAGAGAGAGAGAGAGACCCGACGGCGAAGGCCACCAGACATTTCGCATAGCACTGATGAGGCCCATAGCAGTTCGGGCTTTCTGTCACGGCAGCTGTCCAGGCAAGAAATCCAGCGAGGTGGCATTCTTCCCGCGTCGCGTATCTCCACCAGCCTGTTCAGTAACCTTGCTCAAGAAAGCTGACGGGGAAAGGGACGAAGAGACACAGAGTGAAACAAAGCTCGGCAGATCCATGGGCAATGAGGACGGGGGGAGGAGGAGGAGGAGGAAGAGGAGGAGGAGGAGGAGGGTAAACCCAAGACCCATCAACGATGTTGCAAGAAACCTCCCTCCACGTTTCCCCTCCATAGGTTCGTGCCAAGATGTAGTTTCACTGCGGGAAGTGCTCCATTGGAAGACAGGCGTCTGAAGATCTGCACTCATGTCGAATCAGTATTACTTGGTTTTCGTGCAAGAACACCCTTCCTGGGACTTCAACGCCGCAAATCAACGTGCCTGTCGCGTCCTCAAACGTGCCAAACACCGTTTCTCGGACGTCAGCGATGAGAATCCGTGAATATCTTGCAAGCTGTTAAAACGAATGTGAGCGGCGCTGAGGCGAGAGCCACATTTTGAAAAGGAACTGCCCTCCATCCGTGACGCATGCGCGCGGCGCGAGGGCGAGAGCCGCATTTTCATGAACCCGGCGCGACCCCAATTCGGGGAAAGCTTCGTGCATGGACGCAGCATCGCTGGCCGCATCGCTTGGCATTACTTGGCACTGGTTGGCATGGGTTAGCGTTGCTTGGCATTGCTTGGCATTGCTTGCCATTGCTTGCCATTGCTTGCCACTGCCTGGCATTGCTTGGCATTGCCTGGCATTGCTTGGCATTGCTTGGCATTGCTTGGCATTGCCTGGCATAACTTGGCATTGCTTGGCATTGCTTGGCATTGCTTGACATTACTTGGCATTGCTTGACACTGCTTGGCATTGCTTGGCATTGCTTGGCATTGCTTGGTATTGCTTGGCATTGCTTGGCATTGCTTGGCATTGCCTGGCATTGCTTGTCATTCCTTGGCATTGCTTGGCATTGCTTGGCATCGCTTAGCATGGCTTGGCATTGCTTGACATTGCCGAGAACCCGTGGAACCCCATATAAACCTGAGTATCTTATGGAACCCGAGTAAATTGGGGAACCCGAGGAACCCGAGGAACCCTGGGGAACCCGAGGAACGTGCGGGACCCGAGGGTCCCGAGGAACCCGAGGAACCAGGGGAACCTCCAAACAACGGGCAACGTGAGAGTCGGAGGCACCGAGGGTGAGGACACCGGGGAATCCGAGGATCCCGGGGAACCTTCGAGCAACGGGCAATTTAAGAGTCCGAGGCACCAACCTTTCACCAAGTAAGAACACTCCAGGCAAGCCAAATTGGGGAAACACGGCCAACATAAGAAAAAAACGGCCAATCCTCAATCCGTGAACCTTTTGCAAATATTTAAGACGAACTTCCGCGGCCCTGAGGCGAGAGCCACATTTTGAAAAGGTACCGCCTTCCATCCGCGAAATTCTGGCAATTTTTTAAGACGAATGCGCGTGCTGGTTGGCGAAATAAAAGGAGAGGAACGGTTTTGCCAGTCGCGCCCTCAGGCGTGATGTGCGATTCCGTCTTCACTGCTTCAACGTGAGCCCCCGCAGCTTTCCTGACCGCGCATTCGAAGCGGGGCCAGTCCGACACATTCGTGGGCGGGAAATTGCCCGCGAGGAGCTTCCACAAAGCTCTGTAAACGTGCTCTCTGCCAGTCTCACAAGCCTACGAATGACCGAGCATGCATACGGGGCAGTGGCCTTCTCCAAACATGGACCGCTCTCAGACTCACTCCGACTGTTCGACTGCTCAAGCTCTAGAGGTCCACCCCGCGAGGCCAATTCAGGAGGACTGTCGTGATGCAGGGGTGCTTCGTCTCTAAGTACTGTGTTGGACCAAGGCGCTCTCCAGAGGTCGCCGAGTGCCCCACCCCCGTGGGCGCCTTCAGCTCCGAACGCGTCCCGAAAACTATTTGGCTCACGCGGCACCAAGGTCGAGGTCGGGGAGGGGAGGCTGATCTGGGCTACGTCCCAGTTCTTCACGCTTCGCGTATCCCCGCCTGCCCTCGGTTGGGACTTCCCCACCGCTGCCCCTCGTCGGTGTCTGGCGATTTGGATTTTCCATTAAGCGCCCGCACGTCCTGCCCCTTCTCCGTGTTGGGGGTCGCCGTTCTGCGCTGCTCTTTGGCTTTGTCCTCGGCGTGCTGTTCGTCTTGCGGGCGGTCTTCTTCCTCTGGGTCGTGGGTTTCCTGAACTACTTTCTGGTGTTGCGCGTCGCCCGGAAGTTCCTCCTGGTGCCTGCGCTCCTGTGCGCGGCAGTGGGGCTCGCCTCCTGTTTGTCTTTCCTGCTCGTTTTTGTTCAGTGCTTTCGCCTTCCTCTTCCCTTGCGCTACTTGAGGCCGTTGCCAGTGTGCAATATCCTGGACGCCGCCCGGCCTTTCTTCGCCGCGGTCGCGATCAACAGAAATCCCCGCCAGCCTTGGCCCGCATCGCCCCTTTCCTTCCTGGTCACCGCCGTCCTGGGTAAGCGCGGCACTCGCTCACACTCGCTGCGGCCGCGTGGGCGATCGCTCGCGCCCATCTACACAGGCGTCGTCTTCGGCACCCTCGTGGGCGTGCCTTCGCTGCGCGCGTGATGCCTCCCGCGCCATCTTGGCTGCGCTCCGCCGTGCCCCGTTCCATGGCGATCGCTGTTTTCTTCGCTGGTTGTTTCCTTCGCTACGGCGCGGCCCGCCCCAGCTTGCTCGGCGTTCGGCTTGCTTCGCGCGCCCGCGTACGAAAAAATATCCCCACCAGCCCAGCCAGAAACATTGCCGATGCGAGTTGTCTTGATGCGATGCCCAGGCGGGTTGTCTTCTCCAGGGAAGTGTAGACGCGTGCAGTGGACTGCCCGCGAGGAGCGAGGAAGAGGAGGAGGAGGACGAGGAGGCTAAGGAGCAGGAGGACGAACGCGGTAACGAGGAGGAGGAAGAGGACGAGGATGACAATCACAACGAGGAGGACCATAACGACGATTTGCAGAACGTGGCGGAAGAGGAGGAGGAAGAGGATGAGGAGGATACTGAAAAAGGAAACGGGTAACAAGGGATGATGAGGAGTAGAGGGACGACGAGGACGAGGACAACGACTCTGGCAGGCATCTTAGGGTATTCTTGAAGCTTTTTTGGCGTCATTTTTTGGGGGATGGTCTTGGGACTCTCTTTGGGCTCTTTTGGAGGGTCTTGGGGTTTTTTGGGGCCGTCTTGGGAACCCGGGAGGGTTTTTGTTGGGGCCATTCTGGAGGCCATCGATCAACCGGGGTCCCCCGATTTCTGTTCCCTCAACCTTCTGTGGCCCTCAATCTCACCTCTTGAAGCGCCTTTGGGGTGCACTTGGGCCGGTTTCAGGCTGTCCTGGGGCCGTCTTGGGGGCTTTCCGGGGCGTATAGGGTTTTGTGACTTTCGCACCTACAGAATTGGTTATCCGATGCCCCAAGCATGCATGATTTCTGCCCGGACGAAAGATCACCCGAACATGGTTGGGAGCGGGCGGAGGGGAGGGGGGGCCGCTCCATATCAGTCTTCCTCCTCCTCCTCCTCCTGCTCCTCCTCCTCCTCCTCCTTCTCCTCCTCCTCCTCCTCCTCCTCCTCCTCCTCCTCTTCATCACCATCGCCAAGATGCACCCCATTCCTCCATTTGTCCTCTTTTGCCGCTTCTCTTCGGCAAACCGTGCTCAGATGGGGGGCCAGGCGGCGCCCCTCCACACAGACAGCGTCTTCGGAATATGTGAAGCTGCACAGGGCAGAACTACCTTTTGAGCATGCCAGCATATTGGCGGCATTTCCGCAAAACCCCAAGACAAAACTACCGAGGCAAGAATTCAAAATTCATTGTGGAGATGTACATCGGACTCTTGAATGGAGTCTGGTGTGGGATAATCTCGTCGGGGGACTTACGACCCATGCGCATATTGTATGATGTCTGTTTCTCTGCAGGAAGCGGCGCAAAGCAACCTACGATTCTTGCTCGCAGAGGAGCGTGTGGCATGACAGTGCCCCGAAGTGCGCATCGCGCGAACATGGAGACAAAAATACTACTACATCTGAGGCTGCGGCCACGGCCGCATCGCGCAGGCCGACATCGGCCCGTCCCCCCCCCCCCCCGGATGGACGTTCTGCGCGTCTCGTGGCGCGTTTCGTGCCCAGTGTCTCAGCTTCACAACAGTCGTCTCCACCGCCGGGTCGGGGGTGGACAGAACCCCCTCCCTCACACGTCGATTAGTGAATTGTCCGTTTTCGGTCCTCGAGAGGGCGCCGCGGCCGTCCTTTTCCAGCCTTGCGCCAGCCGGGTTATGGTCCGAGGTCGCTTTCACTAGACGACGTTTTGCTGAGGGGGTGTTCTGCCCCCCCCCGAGCGGGCGGCCCCACGGCCGTTGCGACGGCCGCCTTAGCCGCGGCCGCCTCTGCTGCGGCCGCGGGCGCCTCGACCGCGGGCCGCGGCCTCGGGCAGGGCCAGGTCCAGCCAGGGCCGGCGGCGTTGCCTGGAGCGGGTGCCCCCGGCAACAGCAGCGCCGCGGTCTCGTCCCTTTTGGGGCGATGGAGCAGGCGCTTCCAAGGCGTGCGCCATTTCGAGGGTGGTTTCGGGGCCACGGCGTAGCGTCATGACGCCCATATGTACACCATGGGTGCACTTGTGTTCTTTTCTGTGCCCTCGGTGTGCTGCTCTCTTGAGTGTGTGTCTGAAGCGAGCGACCATCACGTGCAGTGGCGACCCATGCCAAGAAGCACCCTGCTTGCCTCCAGGGTGCCCTGGGTTTCTTAGGTTTCTTGGGTTTCGATGGTTCTGCGATGGACGCGACGTTCCCACACCAAGAATCAGTGGACGTCCTGGGGTGTCAGGGTAGGGGTTCTTTTGGAAGGTTCCTTGTGGACTGGCCTCCACTGTAAGTGCACTTGCCGAGCCATCGCCATTCTCGTTAGCTGGCCAGGGGCAGCCCGCGGCAGATGTTCGTCCTCGACGTCCACCCAATCGTTGACAACGCAGTGCCACGCGCCATGAAGCGCATTCTGGACTCGGTCAGTCGCCCTGTACATCACACAACCCTGGTCTGGGAGCGAGCCCTCGAATGCAACCTCGGCGTCGCGGTCGGATGCGCCATCGGGGAGATTAAGCACCAAACCACGGGACCGAGCTTGTTGCGAAACAGTCAGTGTCTTTATATCCAGACTGCCAGCAGGTGTTTGCACAACTGGCTTACCTGATGTACCCGTGGGAACATCAGACACGCATTGAACAATGCTGCCGGCGCAGTGCGGCCCAGCTCTTGCCCTTCTGCCTTTGCCTCCCTACCAGCAAACGTTATTCTTCTCTGCGACGAAGAGATATAGACTGTTCGGCAAGCTTTTGACTTTGAACATGTTCAGCGGCTGCAGCAAGTTCTTCATGTGTGTTCCTCCTTGGGCACTACGCCCGCCGCGTGAGGCCTCGCCCTGAGGGGGCCTGAATCTTCGAGGCGCATGTTGAAGCGCTGACGGTGCACCCAGTCTGTCCTGGCACCTGCTGCGATCTCGGGGCCGACTGCGGCCAGATCTCGAAGAAACGCTGCCCAAACTTGCGCGATGCACGGTCGGACCCCGCTTTCGCTCGGAAAATCATCGTTCATATGCAACTCAGAAGAGATCTTGAGGATGGCATTGGCCATCTTGAATTTAGATAATCACTTGTTGTCCCTGTTGTCCATGTTCCACTTCCACTGGCCATTGCCCATCTCGCAATTCAACGCGCCATCTGGATTTGCAACTTGGGCGCGTCACTGCGTGACCGCAGTGTCTCCATGCAGCTTCGGGTGGGTTTGCATCGGCCGCAGTCCGCAGATGGCCCATGATACCCATATCGTTCAAACAAATGTGCTTCGAATTTCGTCGTTCGAGCATCTGGTAAGTTGAATGAGCGTGTAATCCAGGCTGTCGCTGGCTCCTTTGCCTGCGCTGGATCAACTGACAACGCGCTAGCTGCTATCAGCGTGCTTCGACCAACGTTGTCTGCATTTCACTTGGTGTGCGACGCAACTCTGGATTGCAATCTCGCGTGGCACTGCGCGGCATCGCGAGCTAGACTTGCTGCTTCCTCGTCGGACGCAGTTCCGAGCCGAACCAACATCTGAATGCGTGACTTTGTGCAGTCTTTATACCGTGCGCCATCTGGAATACGCTGTAGAAATTCTCGATCAACAGCGCCCCCCCATTACAATGCCGATGCTGCGGCCGACCAGTACCTGAAACGTAACATGCGATGCAACGTGGTCTTTCTTATTTCCAATAACATCTGTACGAAGCCCTGCCGATTACGTCGCAAATATTAATCGGCCTTACCCGAGCTGGCGTCGATGAGAGCATTGCCGTTCCAAATGCGCGATCGTTGCCGTCGGTGCGGCGCAACTCCACATCTTTCTGGGTGCGAGTCTTCCACACGCTTTCCCTCGGTAGCAACCGGCGCAGCAATACTAAGAATGGCCCGGGACGATTTTTGATTATGCGTGGCTGCGGCGTGGCAAACGTTTGTCGAAATTCATGAGGGCCTTTCGTGAAGAGGCTGACGCCGTTGCACGCGCGACCATTGACAGATATAGCCTTGCGAGTCCGCCAAGTCGCGCCTGTGCGGATCGGAAACATTTGGTTTGCTTCGGACGATCCCCGCAAAAACCCTCGGCCTCGGCGATCCCCGCCAAAATAGATGATTCACAAAGGTCTAACAACCCCAGGGCCCCTGGCGAAAGAAGCCGCATCAAGTCCTTGGAGCGACGAGCCAGTCCCCAAAACGCTTCCCGCGAGACCCCACACTTTGCTGCCCCCGACCTCCTTGTATGTTCTTCAGGAGGGGAAAAAACACAGACACAATTAATCGTCGATCCCCAGGAAAATATGGGAAAATACGGGAAGTGTGGGGGAAGACAAGAACCCAGAAAACATGGGAAAATATGAGGGATCGCGTTATTTGTGTGTGCTTACTCGTGTGTCCCAGGTCAGTTGTGTTCGACGAGGTCCTGTTCTGATGAAGCTACAGCATGACATGTCATGTCGTTGATGGGGCGGCGAGGCGCCGTGGCGCCTGTTGCGTTATGTATGCGTCGTCCGAGCCGCTGCGCCCGTTTGCACCTGTGGCCGGGCTGGCCTCGGAGAGCGCGTTTGCGCTTGGCTGGTGCGTCCCATTATGTCAACCGATTGCCCCCGATAAGAAAGTTTACCCCCTCTTCACCCCCTCTAACATTTTTATCCCGTGCCACTAGGATTTAGTTGTGGAGAGGGCGCGGAGGCCGAACTTTTATGTTTTTCTTCTGTGAACGTTTGCTCTGTTATGCTCGCCTGTCATTGTATGGTTTCGTTTTTACCCGATGTGCGGCATTATGTGGCACCACGCTATGACATGATGCGTGTTATTGATTGCAGGTTGTGCCACGAACTGCTACTCTCTGTGATGCTGTTTAGGGTAAGCTCGGTTGGTTGTAGTGTATGGTGTTATGCTCTGCGATGGCATACTTCTTACATTCAGTTTTAGCCAATCATGTGATAAATCTACAACGTTGACGTATGGGTGGCAGTAGTACAACAATTCTGCTATGCTGTGCTGCTGGCGTTGAGCTCGATTCGTTGTGTGGTGCCGACTTGATCCGTTTCTTTCCCATGTTGTGATCTATTGTGTATGTTCTGTTGGGCAAGCGTGAGGCCGTGACACTTGTCACGATAGATGCGTCGTCCTATCGTTCGTTGTTGCGCCTGTTTGTTCCTGTGGCCGGGCTGACCTCGGCGCGCATGTTGCGCTTGATTGGATTGTAGTACAGGCTTGTGTGTGTTCTGATGTCCAGATTAACATTTGTTTCTCCTATGTTCGTTCTGCTATGATCACTCTGGTCACAGTTTGACTTGATATATTTTGTTATGTCGTGTTCTGTGGCACCGTGTTATGGCATGACATGTTATGTCATGCTGTGTTCTATTCTGATACTTACGCTGGCCGAGATCGTTTCCTCTTCAGCCCGAGACGTCGGAAGCGCCGTGCCGTTCAAATGAACGGGTGTACGTTACGTTTGTTTCGAATCGGGGCGTGCCACATGTTGCGGGGGGGATGTGGGAGTTGGCCGGGCGCGTTGTGGCGTTCAGAGCCGTGTGTTATGGGAGGAGCTTGTGTGATGGCCAGGCCCGTTGTGGCGCTCGAGCGCCCACATGTTATGGTAGGGGTGAGTGAGGTGGCTGGGCCCGCTGTGGCGCTCGAGCTTCCGACACTGGCATTTTGCTTGTCTTCGTCTTCCTCGTCCTCCCTCCTCCTCTTCTTCCTCTTCCTGCTCGTCCTCCTCCCCTATTCCTTCTCCCTCCTTCCCCCCTCCTGCCTCCCCCCTGCTCCTCATCATCTTCTTCCTGTTCCTCCTCTTCCTTCTCCTCTTCCCTCCTCCCTCCCCCTCCCCCTCCCCCCTCCTCCGTCATCTGTCCTCCTGTATCCCCCTCCCACGTCCGTCCCGCTCTCTCCTCCTCTCGCCTTCCCTTGCCTTCTCGCCCCTCTTTTCTTCACCTTCGGAAAACCGCTACCCCGTATAGTCATAGCATTGGTATGCGGAGCCACAGTTCCGTGAATAGCATGACGCTTCAGGTTCTTCTTGGCCCAGGAAGTGGATTCACCTGATAGATCGGTGTTCAGGAACATATATGGTTCCATTCGCTTTCAACACGGGCAATTGGATCCACGCAGCGCAGGAATAAGATCGACGGTGCGTGTGACACACTCAGAATAAAGGATCCAATTTGGTCCATTGGTGGTGTCATATTTACAGTCCAAAGGGGAGATGTTTTTGGCATGGGGGTGTATGTGTGGGATTATATGTACAAGGACAGCGTTGTTTTATGTTAAATATGTTACCTGCTGCCTTGCTACTAAGCCACATACTGTTGCAGTAGTTCGTTTTCAATACGCTGTTCTGTTACATTATGATCAATGCTGCGCTTTGGCATACTCATGTATGTCATGACATTGTATGTTATGGTGTTTGATGATATGTTGTGGTTTGCGGTCTCATATCCATTGATGCCCGTGCTGGCATGCTTTTCTCTGGCAAGGCACGCATATAATGTGATGTTCTGGTGTGTTATGATGCCACGGTATTTTATGTTCTGATCATGCAGATTGTGTTCGGTTGTGGTATGGTATGATTGCGCGCGCCATGGTATGAAATGAGCACCATGCTTTGCTATGCCCTGCCGTGGTCTGCGATGTGCTGTATGTTCGGATATGTCTTGGCATTCGTTGTTATTCAGTGCTGTGCAATGCTATGTTACAACATGTGAGGTCATGGCATGTAATGATGTGCAGTTTTGCTATGTTTTGGTGGAAAAAGGTTCGAGCGCCTCCTGTCTGGCGCGCGCGTTTCACCACACGTATTTGCATGCCTCCGTTCAACGGACGTGCGTACTAGCAATGTCGAACCCAATGATCCAGCCCGCTGAGGAGACGGACGCGACGACGATTGTAGAGTAATCTAGCATACCGATCATAATGTCAGAATTTTCTGATCCTCTAGCAAATAACAGGCTATCCGCCGCAAGCTCTGGATCAATCCATCGTAACGACTTGGCAAATCAGCCACGCCCGGATGTTCATTCCATCTTGCCATTTGATGTGTTTTTGATGCACTTGCCAAGTGACGATCTTCAAAATTCCATTGCGTCAGTAGGGCTAATTCAGTCTGTCCTTGCCTCATGGGTGGATATGGGGGAGCTGGCATAAGCGTTCAAGAAATTGACGTTGACCGAGAGTTATCAGCGATGATCGAGCCGGAGATAAGTTCATCGGATTCGCTCCTGAAAGGGAGAGTCGCGCATCATCGCTGATGGAACTGGTGGCTTAACCGGGAATTCCAATAAACCAAGACAGACTGTTGGATTTGAGCGGGACGAGACATTGGGGAGTGATTCAATCATTCCCTAGGTATTTCGTCGCCTTCCGATTCAGAGAGCGGGAGAAATGGAGATTTCGCAACTTCTGGTTGACATGTTGAGCCCGCGTGAGCCTGAGTTGGCAGAGCATTCGCAGGATCCCGCATGGGAAACGCCGTTTTCGAACATGCCGAAAGGGCGATCCGAAAACAGAGTGGAATTGGATGAGCCACGAATGCAGATGTCCCGCCTAGCCTGGAATCCTGCATCGGTGCGCCATCACTCCAGTAGTCGCAAAATCGAAGGACTGGATGACGAGCGCTTTGATTTGATGGGTTCAGTTCGTCAGTATCAAGAGACGTAAGATTTTGTGGATTGTCAGAAGGGGAAGGTTGACGTGAATCTCGTAGTACCCCCACCGACATCCCCCATCCCAGTGAGACGTGCGAAATTCGGGTCGCCTCATAGGCCGCGCCAGGTCGAAGAACACCCGCGATTCTAGCAGCCCCTGTGGGCAATCCTCCTCCGGCAGACCTTCGATCCCGGTGGGGTGTTGGATCAGTGGACCTAATTGCTCAATGATGGCGGATTGTCGGTTTCTGGGAAAAGCAGAACAGGAAAGTGGCCTTTGTCGTGGGCCCGTGTGTTGGGCGTGTCCATGCACGTGTAAGCACTGTGGCGCCAGGTGGCCCTGCCCAGACTGTCCGAATGTGCAAGTGCACAGCTGTCAATGCATAACAATCTTTGCCTGGCGGGAACAACGAACAAGAAATGGCCGCGGGGAGGTAAATACTCCTCGACAGACAGGTGGTCGCTCACATGAATATGCAATAATAATCGCTTCGACGAGAGAGAACGAACAGTTACAACATATGCACAGACATAAAGAACGCCTGTTGTTGATCACAACAGGCACGCCGTAGCAGGCGACTGCAGAGACAGCTAAGCTGTCTCTGCAGGAAGCCGTGCGTGATAGGAAAGGAGTTGAAAGCAGAAACAGCAAAATTGGCAATCATGGATGCAGACAATAAGCGGCAATACAGATGGCTGAAAAGGGCATGCAGACGCAGCAGGAATTGCAGCGGGCCCGAGAGGCTGCATATATTACCTAGGAGAAAGTGGTTGAAGTTTTTCATGGAAGGACGGCTCAAGCTGCAAACTCTGCGCAGCAAATTTCAAACCGAACGCATGTTGCAATCCAGCAGGCGTCGCTTGGGGGGCAAGCCGCCGCCAAAGAAGCGAGGGGCATCCAGGAAGGCATGATCATACACAAAGCGCGCAAATTAGGTGGAACTTTCTCCAAGCTGAACTCGGCCAGGAGCGCGTCGGCCCGTGGTGCCGGAAGGCTCTGCCCTGCCGCCCAATAGCATAGAGCACCCCGTTGGACATGCACAGGGGCTAAGCCTTCAGTGTCGTCCTGGGAGTGCCAGGGCCCCACCTCCAGGTAGGTGAAACTGCCCCTGCCAAGACTCGCAGAACGATCGCCTCCGAAGCCTTCTGTGCCAACTGCTTAGTATATGGGCACTCCCAGTAGGCATGCTTGGGGTGTCTCGAGAACTTGTTTGCCTCTGGGTGCATGTCACGTACCCGCTGCGCAGGCCAAAGGTTGCCCCTCGCAGTCGCCTTGTCGACCCCAAGCAGAGAATGTTCCTCTTTGCGCTGCAAGCTTCTGAGACACCTCTGGTGGATACGTAAGCCTGGGATCCTTCCTTCGTGTCCTGCCGAGGTATTTGTTCGGGGGCAGCCGTCCACGAGGACCGCTGGACCGTCAGGAGAAACAGTCGATTGGAGGTCAGACAAAAACAATGTGCCGAACATTTTGGTTTCCGGGGGGAGAAAATCATTCCATCCTATCAGGGCTGCGCCAACGCCAGGGGCCCGACGGCTCTCGTTTGCATCGCAGCAGAAGGCAGACAGCAGCCGAGCAAGTGCCCCTCGCGCGATGCACTTCCAGGTCTGGGGTGTGCTTCTGCAGGTCCTTGGCTATAATTTGCCACGCGCGGTCGATCAGCTCTCGAGTATTGTCCGACGGAGCCAGAATAATTTCCCAGGAGGAGATCTCATCCGTAGCCGTCCAGCAGCATATCGGCGAGAGCAGCAGCAGGAGCAGCAGCTAGAGCAGGAGTAGGTGGGGGGGGGCAGGGAGGGAAGGAAGGAGGGGGTTGTCGTCGACGGGCGTCGGATAGGGCGTCATGCCGTGCTCGAGCACACTGGGGGTGGGTTGGATGGCGCGAGTACCACTTCTGCCACCAGCCACTTCGGAAACAAGGTGACAGCAATCGAAGTAAAAAAAACCCGGGCCTTCTCCGAGCTGTCCAATCGACCAGCCCTCTTACCAGTGTGGCTGGAAGGAAAAAATTAACAGGGGGGAGGAGGGGGAGGGGGCGGAGGAGGAGAGGATTGTGAGGACGAGGAGGAGGAGGAGGAGGAGGAGGAGGAGGAGGAGGAGGAGGAGGAGGATGAGTTGGGAGGAAGGACGGGAGGGGGGAAGGACAGGCGGGGGGATCGGGAGAGGACCACGAGGAGGGCGATGTTAAGGGGGATGCACGTGCGTCTGTTGCCTCTGATGCGCGACATTGGGCAAAGCTGGCACAGAGCGAGCGGCTTGTCTCTCGGCTGCAAGCCGACGTGCCGCTCATGCCCGCAACTGTACCTGCTCGAGGGCCTCGAGCCGTTCCTCGTGCCCATCAGTTTTTGACCCCCGGCGCTCCACACCACCCGGGGGGACACCTCCAGAAACCTACATCCTACCTCTATTACTTGCGTTCGGCGCTCGATCCTGGCCCCCTTGCCGGACGCACCCGTCCAGCTCTCGCGCCGGAGAGACTGCCAGAGAGACCGCCGCAGAGACCGCCGAGGGCCGCTGGAGGCCGCCGAAGACCGCCGAAGGCGCCCAGGGGCCGACGCGCAGCGAGGGGCCTACGGGTCGAGCGCGTGACCTGCGCGGCGGCTGCTCTTCTCGGGGGCGGCCAAGAGGGGGGCGAGGACTCGGGGGGGGTGGATCTCATGGCCAGGGCCACGAGATACCCCCCAAAACTGATGGCCCCTCCTCTTATTTAATCGCTTCGCTCATTCCGCCGGCCCATACAGTCTCATGTCTGCCGTTTGCCCGAGGGCCTGGTGTCAATGCGGCGCTTTGGGGGTTCCTGGGGCCGCTTGGGGCACTCCTGGGGCGCTCGGGGGGGCATTTGGGGGGCCTCCTGGGGCCGCTTGGGGGACTCTTGGGGGCCTCCTGAGGGCCCCGTGGGGGCCTCTTGGGGCCTCTTAGGGGCCTCGTAGGGGCTTCTTAGGGCCGAGGGCTCGAAATGTTGTTTCGTGTTCCCTCTCTGGGGCCCCTTTGGGGGCGTTCTTGGGGCCCTCTTGGACCGTTTTGGAGGCTTCTTGGGCCGTCTTCGAGCCCTCTTGGGCCATCTTGGGGCCCTCTTGGGTGCCTCTTGGGCCCTCTTGGGGCGATCTTGGGGGCCTCTTGGGCCGTCTTGGGGCGTCGGGAAGCCGAAAAGGTGGAAGCTCCAAAATCTCTCAAAAACCTATGGAAAAACAATGATTTTTGCCTCCGGGGGCCCTATTGGGAGTGCTCTTGGAGGCCTCTTGGGGCGTCTGGGGGCTATCTTGGGCGTCTTGGAGCGATCTTGTGGCATGTCGGACCCCTCGTGTACCATCTTGGGGGCCTCTTGGGGGCCTCTTGGCCTTTCTTGGGGCTCTCGGGGACGTCTCGGAGCCCTGTTGGTGCGCTCATGGAGCGCTCGGGGGGACCCGGCCGGGACCTGGTCGGGGTACTTTTCGTCCGGGGACCCCCAGGGGCCGCCCCGCGCGCGCGAACTAGAAAATTGTTAACCAGTTACCGGAGATCTTAGCACGCCTCTGGCCCGTTGGGCCGGCGAATTTCAATGCGCTCCCTGGCCCCCCCTGATCCGCGCACATGCCTCGGGCCATGATTTGCCCCCCCCCCCCCCCCTCCCCCCCTCTTGGACGCCCCCGATCCTCGGCCATGCTGCCCTGCGGCCCACGCGCGGCGGTGCCGATGGGCGAGCCGTGCCCCCCTGCCGCGTGGTCGCCGCCCGCTGGGCTCACCGCCGAGGTCGCGCCGCCGACGCCGCCGCCGCCGCGAGAGCCAGATCTCGGGTCGGAGCCGGCTCGGCACGCACCGTCTTTTTTTTCCGGGGCGTGTTCGGAGCGGGGTCAGGATGTGTTGGTACTCGTCTCGTTTGTTCGGAGCCCGGTTGGCCGTTTTCGGGCTCCTGGGGCCAGCAGAAGGCAGCTCGGGATGAAAAGTCGGCCTTGGAAATAGGTCGCGAGGTCTGGCACTGGGGGGGCGCGGTCATTCCATGCAGGACACCATAATGCGCCAGTGAAGCGCTTCATGGCCCGCACGCACGACAAACTTGGCTCAAATAGTTGCCCGCGCGCTTGCCTGCTGTGCCCATCTGCGTAGTTTTGGCTGCACGCTGCCTTGGGCGAGCGGTTCGCCAAACACCGCGGGTCGATGTGGTTCTTGTCGTGCAGCCCGTCCGTGATGTGCGCCAACCTGCCTGTCAAAGAGCCGTTATTTTGCTTCGATATGTACTTCCGCGTATGGCAGACATAACCGTACCTGAGCGCGTGCAAGCCAGGCGATATTTCCATTAGTTCTGGCAAGACACTTTTGAAGCCCACACATTTCCTCGATGCACCCTCTGGGGTGAACGCATACAACCAACCGCATCGCTTCCCCCTTTGGCTGGTCGCCTTCGTAGGCTTGGTCTCTTTGTGCGTCTTGCACGACACTGCCGTCATATCTGCCTCTTGCGACTTGGTCGGAACGTACGTGCTGTCGCCTGCTTTCCTTCAGCAGTCTGGCAGCCGCCCCGCAGTCACGTTGCGTGCCGCCGTCCGCTGCCTCTGGTGAGCCTCTGGCTGGCTGCTCTCGTTTACGCATGCCAGACACGCATCGTAGGGCTCAGCGCTTGCGTCAGAATCCAGCACCCGCCAGCGGCGATGTGCAGCGATAGTTCCTGCCCTCGCAGGCCCGGCGACGTCCCCCACTGGGGGACGCCGCCGGGGAGTCTTAGGTGCCACGTCCGCATCCGCTGCGCAAGTTCCGCGAGGGGCAAGTTCAAGTTCAAGCTGTGCTGGCCGGACCTGTTGTGGATCGATCGGACGAGCGTTCTCCAGCTGCAGGTCCTTTCGAAGCCAAACCCACATTGGGATGAAGCATACGTGGCTGTTGGACTGAGTTCTTCTGACAGGGGGGAAGGGTAAGGGATGGATGACCTAGGATGCAATCCTTTACGTGATGCCACCTAGCCACCTGCTAGCGTTTGCTTAATACCACCTCGTTTACGTGCTGTCACCTGTCAGCGTTTACGCAATGCCACCTGCCAGCGTTTACACGATGCCACATACTAGGTTACGTAATACCACCTGCCAGCGTTGAGGTGATGCCTTCTGCCAGCCTTGGCGACAGTACCTCCATGTTGGTCGAGGTCCTCCGCCCCCTCTCCACGAGGAGCTGGCGAAACCCTCTTCCTGTGCCATTCCGTTCCCCCTTCCTGGCCCCTCCTTCCATCCATCCCGTCCGCCTCCTCCTCCGCCCATCCCACTACCACCATCCCCCCCCGCCGCACAGATCCCCTCCTCTCCGTCCTTCTCTCATCCGTTTTCCGCTTAGGTATCCGATGTTTGACTTTCTCAGCAAGGGGTCTCCACGGAGAAGGCTCGACGCTTTCCCCAGGGCCGACTTCTCATCTCGAGTCGTCTTCTGGCAGTGCGGGAGGGGGGGGCCGGCGAGGGCCCCTGGAGTCCGAGCACGCACAAAACTCTCGGAGCTTGTCATGACCTGTTCCACGGCGCGAGCAGCTCCCGGTGCCGTCCCCGCGCCCCGCTATCGGCCCGAGGAGGTGGCCAAGGCCAGGGGCCGGGCCCACCAGCTGATCAGCCTGCTGGACGACGACAGGCTGTGGCGCCTGTCCCGGCTCGCGCTCAGCGGCGGGGTGCTCGAGAACGTGGCCGCCCAGCCCGCGCCCCTTCCGGCGGCGCCCGGCCTCGCCGCGCCCGGCCGCGCGCTCGCGCCGCCGCCGGGTCGGCGGGGGTCAAAGCGGCGCCCCGCTTCTCCGACGGCGTGTTTTTTCCACTCCGGGCCCCGGCCTGGAGACCATCAGAGCTGGATCCGGGATGGAACAAGACCCCCGGGGAAGGGATGTGCCCGGAGAGCCTCGCCGAAGACATGGGTGGTCGGAGCGGCTATGATGTACCCAGACCTCCGCGCGCCGTGGAAGGATCAGCACGGAAGGTGCTTACCAGTTGTTTTGTTGTTTCCGGGGTCCCTCGCCTTGTCGCCAGGCCAATCGTCAAACAACGACTGCAGATGAAGAAGTGGTCCCCGGGAAAGAGTCGGCGGCGAGCGAGGGGTGGAAGTGAGAAGGAGAAGGCCTTCTCAGAAGGCGGCGGGACCTCTCAGAAGCCCTCGCACCTTCGGAGAAGTCTTCTGTGTCTTCGGGCAACGCTCTTTTAGGAAACCTCTCGGAAGGCCCGGGGCCTCCCGACCCACCCGAGAAGGCCCGCCCCCTCTCGCCTCCCCCCTCCGATTGCCGCCACGAGGGGTCCAGACCTCTGGGGAGCCCCCGTTGCAGCCCCGCCGACCCAGGGGCCTTCGCCGCGGGGCCGGCGCCCGCGGACGGCGCGGCGGCCCACTGCCGCAGAGCCGCGGCGGAGCTCGGCGCGCCGGGCGCGGCGCCCGTCCACGACGCGGCGGCGCACGGCGCGGCGGCCCTGCCGCCGGGGCCGGCGCTCGCGGGCCACTACCCAGCGGGGCAGCAGGCCAGGGTTTTTGTTCGGGGGCGGCAAGGAGGGGGGGGAGGACTAGGGGGGGGGGGATAGCATGGCGGGGGCCACGATATCCCCCCAGATCTCATGGCGCCTCTTCTTGTTTCAGTGCGTCCCTGGCCCCCCCTGCCCCTGGGCCACGCACATGCCGCCGGCCATGATTTGCGCCTCCCCCCTCTTGGACACCCCCCTCTCCGATTTTTTCTGTCGTGATGATCCCCGTCTCTTGAAGAGACGGGGATCATCGCAAGCGGGGGTCAGCCAGGGCGCCGGGTCTTGCAGGATCCCGCAGAGCCAGGGTCGCATTTGCCCGGTCTTGCGTGCAAGATCCTGCAGGATTTTGCAGGATCTTTCGCATGGATCTGGGCTTTGGTGCAGGATTTTGCAGGCATTTCGGCTGTGTTTTGTTTTTCGTCTCGGCAGGGAGGTGCAGGAAAGCAGGTAATTAGAGCAAAACAAAAAACAAAACGAGAAGCAATCCCATACATGCGACGTTATATTTTTTTCAGGACGGCGTCCCCGGAAGTCCCCACCCTTTCCCCGGAGCCGGTGTTTCACCCTGTACCGTTTTTTCACGGCCCCGGGGGCCCGGCGAGGGCCCCCCGAGGCCGAAAACGGCGAAAAACCTCCCGTCCTGATTCTCCCGCGACGCGAGCATGTCTTGGACGTTTCTGTCCGGCCCTGCTGGCAGCTTCCGGGGTGGGGAGGGCCCGGGCCTCGGGCCTCGGGCGGTCGAGAGGCCTCGGGGAAGCCGCCGCGGTCGAGCCGCTGGGAGGTCCCGCCGGGGGTGCGCCCCTCGCCTCGCGGGGCGCGGCGCGGCGGCGCGGGAGAATCGGAGGTGGATAGACCTCCTACCCTGACTTGGGCGCCCGAGTTATCCGGGGTAACTCGGGTCCGGGGTAACTCGGGTTTGGACTCCCGAGAAAGGAACCCGAGTTATCCCTGACCCGAGTTACCCCTGATGATTCGGGGCCCTGGACGCCCGAGTTATCCGGGGTAACTCGGGTCCGGGGTAAGTCGGGTTCGGAGTCCCGAAAAACGAACCCGAGTTATCCCTGACCCGAGTTACCCCTGATGATTCGGGGCTCTGACTGACGCGTCGATGAGCGAATTGGGCGTTTTCGGTTCGCGAGAGGGCGTCGCGGCCGGCATGTTTGCAGGTCCAGGGTTCGTCGGTTTCGGTCCCAGGCCGTATTCGCTGAAGGGAGGTTTGCCCAGCGCGGAGAGAAGAGGCCCCAGCGCCCCAGAGGGTTGGGTGTAGGTCGGATTTCGGGCGCAGAAACAATCATTATAAACCATGTACAAAAATACTTCGAACAATAGTAGAAACTCGTCTCCGTATCATGTTTGACTAGTCTGGATTATTTTTCCTGTAGAGGGACGTGTCCGACTTAGGATTAGGTCGGGCATGTCCTTCTACAGGAAGAATAGTCAAACATTTAATAGTCGGGTGACGATGTTATTTTGATTATGCTTGGCTATTGTTGCATATGTTTTGACCATATTGTATTTTTCGCCCAAAATCCGTTTGTGGGAGGACATGCCCGACCTGAGCCTTGCAGTCTCCCGCGCCCATGCTCCTCGTGGGTGGCGGGTGTGAGGGGTCTTTTGGTCGCCAGGAGGGGGGCAGCCATCTCGGCCGCCCAGGCGAGATCCGAGAAATTTGGGTGGGAGGATCGCCCCGCATCGCCGACGCTTCAGCGATGCTGCTCGACGTGGAGCACGATTGTAGAGGCCTCTGACCTGTGCCGCCGATCCAGTATGCTCCAGGATGCTCCAGGCGAGCTCGTCTTGTTTTGTGAGCTTTACCGCGAGAAGGCAGGAGGAGGAGGAGGCCTACCCCATATCTTCACTGCCAGCCACTTTAAGTCAGCATGCTGCATACCATCCTTGCACCTAATTACCACGGAAGGGATACTTGGCACACTTTACCTTTCCTGCTGGCCGCCAAGGCGCCGGCCCGGCCCCTGCCGCCCGGCCTCCTGTCGCCCAGCCCCGTGGCGCACGGCCCCGTGGCGCACGTCCCCGTGGCGGAGACCTCGGCCCAGCCCGCCGTGGGCCTGGCCCCAGAGGCGGTCTCGAGCGAGGAGCCGCCGCCGCCTTCGACGGTGTCGACGTCGTGGTGGACGTAGTCGTGGTCGTGATCGTCGGCAGCGTCGTCGTCGCCGTCATTGTCGTTGTCGTCGTCGTCGTCGTCCGAGATCGTGGTCGTGGTCGTGGTCGTGGTCGTGGTCGTCGGCATCGTCGTCGTCGTCGTTGCCCTGTGAGGCTGATTCAGAGGTCACACGACGGCCAACACCGATATTGAACCAATTGCCATCACCTTCGTTTCCTCTTCCCTTCCTCGGCCACTTTCGCAGGACCATCCATTTTGAATGGCCGGCCGCTTCTCTGTATCTCTGGCGTTTCATCTCTTTTCGAATGCGCGGGGTATTTGAATTAGCTCTGAGGTGTATCGCATTCCTCGCTGAGCTGTTCGTGTGGAGGTGTCGGCTTTCGTCTCTCAGCTTTCCTCTTACATCTCCACAGAAAAATGCCATCACCTGTTTGGGTGACGGTGTGAAGGCTGCAATGGCGCCCCACTGATGGCGGCACTGGCCTGGGAGCCGCTTTTCGCCGCGCTTGCACCTCGCGCGGCGGCGGCCCCGTCCTCCTAGGAACGACTACCAGTCTGGCGCTTCCTCCATTACAACCGATTGTGCGATGCGGTTATTCTGCTGGGCATTCAGAAGCGCACCGAATTACGAGTGGAACAGCATCGAACGGTATCCAAATTGAGAATTGAGGCATGCTGCCACAAGGGCGCCATCACGAACCAGGCAACAGGCATCATGATGAGCTTTGGAAAAAACTACGTGAAAGTACTGTGCGACGGGTGCGGCTGCCAACGGCAGAATTGGGGGAGGGGTTTCGCCGCTCGGATTGCGAACCGGTTCCATGATTTCACGTTCATTGGAGCCTACGCCCCTCCCCGACCTACGAGAGCAAAGCGGCCACCACGTACGAAGCCACGGTCCTTAAGTTCTTGGGGTGGAAATCAGAGGTGCATAGCGACACTCATGCTCGAAGTGTCCCTATTATTGGCATCGATCTCGACGACGGCATGGGCATGCAGACGGGGCGTCGTGGACAGTTTACCTACATCGAGGGCGCCGCGATTGAGGGGGAGGGGGCTCGACGGGAACACCTTGCTGGACGAGAACTTCGACAGATCTTGGTCCTGCATCATCGTTTATGGGCCACCAATACGTCAACTAATATGGACACATTGTATGGCGACCAGGGGCATCGCAGTCGAATCGATTACTTGTGTTGCCCACGCACTGTCCAGATCTCTTTTTCTGCCCCCTGGCAGGGCTGGGGCGCCGACTGCAGCTTCTAAGCGCGAAACAGAAGAATGATCACGTGCCGTTGCATTTGAACTTTTCGTTGTCGGCTTAGTAGGCAGCGCTTATTTTGGAACAAATGGGGGGGGACCTGTGTCGAGGAATAGTGTGATCTACGAACGATGTATGGGCGTGGAAGTACCCGACCGACTTTCCGAGCAATCGGAAACCATTGTGCGCGATGGGGCGGAGGGGCTTCTCCGCAAAAGCCCACCTCGGGATGAGCGATGCGAGGCGCCTCGTTGTCATCGCCATGCGCTACTGGAGCAACGACAGCAATTTTGGCAACAACTTGCGGAGGCTGACCCTGAGGTGGCGGAGGTGGTGACCACCGAACTGCGTTGTCTTTCAACATTCGGACAACGCGAACGCAAGCGGGGGTGGCTGCAATATCATGCGGAGCTGATCGAGGGGATGCGGCGCGCCGTGAAGGAACGCCCGGCGCAGGTCCACGCGCTTGGCCCGACGCGCTGCTGTCATGAAGTATTGCGGCGCGAGGCGACGCCCATTTTTGGCGGCGACGATGAATGGTCTCAGCGCGGAGCGCTGGCTGGAGTCGCGGGCGCTTCCTGGCGCGGATGGCGGCGGGCAGGCGCGCGCCGTGCCCGACTGGTTTCGAGGGTTGCGATCTCGTCGTTGGAGGGCCGAAGGGAAGCCAAAAGCGACGCGCGCCGACTGACCTGGTTGGCCCGGCGGGCCCCGCGGGGATGGCGCGCCCGCCGTGGTCGGCGCCGCTCGGATGACCGGCGATTCTCCTGGCCCCCAGGGCCCGCCCTGAGAAACAGATCGTGGGCGCGGGCGCCGAGCTGCCTCCGCTCGCGGCCCCGCTTTACCCCGCTGCCTTGGCAGATGGGCTCGCAGAGATTCGCCGGGCCGAGAGGGCCCCGTTATTCATTCTGGCGCGCGAGTTTTGGGATCGGTTGGCCCAGGAAGGCCGACGGCGGAGATGTGGTGGGCGACAGCTCTAGGGGCATTCGCGCCGCGCGCCTACTTCCCGCCCTTGGGATAGGATGGTACGTCACATGTAGTGCCACCCCCCGTATGCCTCGTCAGGTTCATGGGCCCCTCCCGCAGAATTGCGAGGCATCCGCCATCGGGGGGAACGCGGCGGTCGAGAGAAGCTGGCGGGCCCGCATTTGCCCGCGCGCGCGACGCGAGCACCGTTTTTGGAAGCGCGCGCTGGGGCGCATCGACCGAAGCGACCGTGGAAGTCATGCAGTTTTTTTTTTTTGTCCATGGCGACCAGCGTTTTCGGGGGGCCGTTGTCGGCCTTCCCCTGCAATGCCCAGAGGTTCTCATGTGAAAAAATATGATGCGGGTCCTTCGCGGGGGCCCCGCGGCAGTCGGGCAACGCGCGCAAGCGTTTCGGCCGAGTGCGAACCAGCGGCGGCAGTTGATGAGCACTCAGAGTTGCGCTGCCGACGAAATCTGCGCGACTGGCTCCTTTTCAGGACGCGCAGTTGACGCGCTGGCCTTCCGGTGTGCCGACGATCAGTTTGAGCTGCTCGCAGCGCGGGGCGGGGGCGGATCTCGTTGGCGGCTTCTTTCTCGCGAGCGAATGTCTCGGCGAGACTCTCGCTGCGATCGGGCGCAAGCGAAGACGAGGCCGGCGGGGGATCGCGCTGCTGTTCGCGCGCGAAGTCGCACCCGAGCGGCCGGGTGCCTCGGGGGCGGGGCCTCGCCGCCCCCGGCGAAGCATCGCGCGGGCACCAGGTGTTCGGGCGCGCGGTTCGCTGCGAGCCGCAGTCTTGCCTCACAGTTGCAGAAGCGACGGCGGGCGGCGCGCGACGCGCACGGGCCCCTGGAGGTTTGCGGGCGCTCCCAAACCAAGCCCCGGGCGGCGAGGCAAAGCATGCTGATCTGTTGCGCTTAGAATGCGCCTCTCCGCGGAGAGGGGGCCCAGTTCCGAGCGCGCCGCGGGCGGTGGCGGCCGCCAAGTGCGAGGGCCCCCATGCCGCGTCGGCTGGCGCGCCCTGGGGGCCCTCGCGCGGATTGCCCCCCGGGGGGGGGCCAGGCCGGGTAAGCGGCGTTGGGCCCGTCCCAGATCGTCGGCCAGAAGTCGCCGATGCGCGCGCATCGGCGCCGCCTTCTGCGCCCTGGCCAGGGTCAGGCAGCAATCGCTGCCCCTGCTCCTCGGCCCGCGCGCGTCAGCCGGCGGCCCCGTGGTCGCCCGCGCCATCCTGCTCCACGGCGGGCGCCGGGGCCTGGCCCTGGGCCCCCGAGGCGCCGGGCCTCATCGGGGGGAGGTGGCCTTCGCGCGCGCGCGCGCCCTAAGATCGCGGCCGAAGCGCGCGCGTCGGCGCCAGGGTCGGGCTCGCCAGGTCGATCACCGGGCAAGGGCGGGAGCGGCGCGCTGGCGCCGCGGGCCTCGCATCCTCAGTCCGGGTTCAGGGAGGGGCCAGCACTGGGGCTGACCTCTCCTCGGGCTTCGGGCTTGGCCTGGCCAGCTGGACCTCCCGCGGTGCTCATGCGAAGGTATGATCGCGGGCCTCTCTGGACAGGCCGCCCCGCCGCTCCGCCCCGCCAGAAGCGGGCGATGCGCTGGGGGGGCGGGGGCCAGCGGGCCCCCTGGCCGAGTGGCTGCCCGGCGATGGGGCGGCGTCAGAGCCGCGGTCAGTCTGCCCGCGCCCCAGCTTCTGCGGCCGCGCGGAAGTTTGCCGGCTGGGCTGCGTCCGCCGGGCGGATGCCCTGGCCGTCGAGGAGCGCCGCCAGCGAATCAGCGTCAGGCCAGCGCAGATCACCGCCCCTGGATGTGGTCTTGCTCCGATGGGAAGTCCCCCAGGCAGGCCGCAGGTTGTCGTCTCTGTCCCCGCCCCTGCGCTGCCCCTCGATTGCGATTCCTCGGGCGATGATGTCCGCTGGGGCCGCGCGCGCCTGGCCCACGGCGCAGTTCTCTGGCGTCGCGCCCCGCGGCGTCGCGCCGCCGGGGATAGGGGCGGGGAGGTCGAAGCGCTCGCCGCGGGCCCGTCGCCTTGGTCGCCTGTCCGGCTCCCGCGCCTCTCCTGCTCCCAGGCGCCCCTTTCCGACGCAGCCCCGCCGCGCCTTGTCGATTTCTCGGTGGAGCTCGTGGGCGTTGTCCGCCGCGGCGCGTGCGATGTCCAGGTCGAACCTGTTGCGCCGCGAGGCGGGTCGAATCTCGTCGGGCGCCGCGAGCGGGGCCGCTGTCTGGCGCGCTGGGTTGGGGGCGGCTGGGGGGGGGGCGGCGCGAGTTCAGCTGGCGCTGCTGCGGGTTCGGCTGGCGCGGCGGGCACGTGCGCCTCGCGGGCGATGGAGGTTCGCGCGCCGACCAGGTCGCGCCAGACTGCGGCGCGGGGCGCGACCGCAGCGCGTCGCGCCCAAGCGCGCAAGAAGTCGGAGAGCACGTCGACGCTCGCCCACGCGGGCATCTCCATGGGGAGGCGGGTAGAACCCTTCCCCTTCAATCCGCGGGGGGGGGGGGGGGGGCGGCTCCACCCCCTCCGAGCAACCGCAGAACGCGTTTTTTTTTTTTTTTGTTCGAAGCTCCTGGCGTTCTCGGAACTTCTGAAGCACCTGGAGCCCCCGAAGCTCCCGAAGCTCCTGAAGCTACAGAAGCTTGCGAAGCTCATGAAGCTCCGGAGGCTTCCGCATCTCTGGAGCTCTTGAAGCTTCCGAAGCTTCTGGAGCTCCTGAAGCTCCTGATGCTCCCGCGTGGTGTCGGGGCCGCTCTTGCGGCGTCGGGG